TCTTGTTAATATCTCTCGAGAAACCGCGAAATCCCTGCGAAGAGGGCATGCCCGAAGGTAAGAAGCCCCATCCGGAGGGCGATAAGTTGCCCCGGAATTAGAATAATTCTTTGAAGGTTCCCTTCCAAAAAGCCATAGTTGTTCTGTGAGAATCTACATGATGATAAGTGATTTGGCATCTTTCCCCAGACGATACACACCTAGGTATTTTACAGCTCCAGAGTAGACCCAGTAGACCGGACATATATATCAGGCATTGCGACCCAACACCAAGATTAGTAGCATTGTGGCCCGTAGCACCTAACACACTTCGCATTGAGGGGAATCAGAAACGTGCTAGCATTAAATCATTGTGAGCGACAGAGGGTTGAACAAGACAATAGCTGTCAGTGTAAAAATTACGGAAGAATAACCACACACAAAATTAAAATTGGGTATTCACCTTCGCAGGGAGAAACAAAAGAAAAAGGAGTAGAAATATCTAGCCGCAGGCCGAAAGTATTCAGGGCCACGACGGCCCTCGTGTGTCGGAGGGTTCATACTATCTGCAAAGATACAGGTGAGCATACGACGTCTCCGACACTTATCGTTTCCGAAGAATGGCGTTTTTAATGAAAAGTATATTTCTTGATTCTTATATTCTGACTTTTCCGAATTGAAGGCAGAAGTTGCAAAGAACCAACGTCCTGTCAACTAGAAAAATCGCGACAGTCTCTGAAAAGACACATCCCGACTACGTTTGGGATTTACAACTTCGAATTACTTCTGTCGTGGTGTTGCTGTTAACACATTTGATTTTATCACGCTACGCCATCGCTTATTATAACTTAATTTTTTTCACAATTTGGTATATTGTGAATAAAGTTTTTTTCATAACTCCTAACTATTATTATTATAAATATCTAAGGGATTGTTATTTTCTTCTTGTATTAGAACAAGAAATAGTTGCAAAATTCAACTAGATGACTTCGACAAGCGCGTCATCAGTGACACTATTGAACATTTCTTTAAAAAGTCGTCCCAAATGTAAACCATATCTTGCCTGCGTTGCGTGAAACGAACTGGGGTGCAACATCTCTCCGCGAAGTTTTGCACAAAATGGGCTTTCTTGGAAGAGAGTTCAAATTAAAAGAACGCTGCTCCTGGAGAGAGCAGGCATTGTGGACTGGAGAGCCCGATATATTGTGCAAATGAAGCACTTAAAGAAAGAAAAAAAGATATATTTTATTTGGATGAGTCGTGTATCGACACCAATTTAACTGTTGGCAAAAGCCGCCAAACAAGCGACGTGATTGGTGTTACTGGATGGTACATTGCATTAAAAAGATTAGTATTTGCCAGTATTGGGTCGAAAAGACTGTGTATCCCGCAAGCCCAATTCATATTTCAGGCAAAATCGACCACTGGAGACTATCACGAATGAATGAATTCTGAGAATTTGGAGTAGTTCCGATCACAAGTTATTCAATATCTCCCTCCTACTTCTTTCATCGTGTTGGACGCCTCATAACAATACAGGACGTTATCTGTGAAATTATTGAAGGAAATTCACCTCCCCAGAAATCTAATGTTATAGATTTTCTGGCAGCTGAGAAAGGGCATACTATTATTTGTTTACCGTCCTATAACTGCGACTTAAACGCAATTGAATTAGCACGGGCCAAAATCAAAAGGATGCTCAGAGAACGAAACATCACAGGATATATGACTTTTCAACATTTACAGGAGTTTGCAGTTTCAGCTTTCTCTTCAGTCACTCTATCTGACTGGGAGATATACTGTTTACACCTGCAGATGTCGGAAGACGAATATTGGAGGAAATATGGAATTATGAAAATGTCGATCGATGACATTATTATTAGTGCCTCTTCAGATTTGAACGAGGAATTGGAAAAGAGGCCTAAGACTTTCAGGATAACTTGAATTAAGTGTGTGTTTTAATATTTGTTCATCCCAAAAAAATACGCAATGACTTCATATTTGTGTACAGTTATTGGAATTGTTTCAGAAACACAATTCTAATCGTGGGCGAAACTTTGGGACAAAACGTGGAAAATTTGAAAAAAAAAAAGTTCGTTTTAATGTTCATATTATTATTATTATTTTCGCAACATTTCCTTATCGCCAGATGAATTTTCACCACTGACGTATGTTCCATTGGAAAGAGATCAACCTTCAACAGGGCCTTCGTTTTCAAGTTCTACATGTTCGTTATGTGGATAGTTGGATTCACATTTCTCTGAATGTCAGCAAGTTGTTCTGTTGTAAATTTTACACTGCTGAGTATGTATCGTCGTTGACTGGTAATTTTGAAAGTAAAATGTTATGATCAATGACGTCAAAAGCTTCTGAAAGATCTAAAAATATTCCAATAGATGATTCCGTGGATGACGCATCTTTAAGAAAAGAAAATATGTTTGATGTTTTTTTACAAAGAGAGATTTCCATTTGTACGTAAAAAACTATCTCTAATATTTTTGGAAGAAAAAAAAAAAAAGGACAGATAATTTTTTTGAAAAGGGGCTTTATCTTAGCTGTTTAAAAACATCTGGAAAAAATTTTGTGCATACGGATACATTAAATATGTGAGTTAACGGTTGTATTATGGCTGGCGCACAAGTCTTTAACAAACAATCCGGAATTCCATCTAAACCGGCGGAATATCTATTTTTTTAGTTTACAGATTATTATGAGAATTTAATTGGAAGAAGTTTCGGAAACGAACATAGTGTCTAAAATTTTTTGGGAAATGACTCATGTTGATTTTTCAGGCTGAAGACCCTTAGTAAGATCATCAGCAATTTTCGCTGGATCGTTCACATTTCTATCTGTATCTTTTGAAACAACATTCTCTACAAGGTTTCTAATTGATTTGGTCGATGTTTTTACAGTATTCCACATTGCTTTTGTTGTATTATTTGAGTTCAAAATATCCAGAACATGTTTCATAATTTTAGCGTGCCTTATGACTTTTTTTTAATAATGATGTGAATTTTTAAAGTAGAGGAGGAGATCTTGAGTAATGTTATGCAAATGAAAGAAAGAACTTGTTTGATTTTACATAATGTCCTAATCCCTTGTGTTATCCAAGAATTGCTGTTCCATGAAATATTTATTTTTGGAAGAGGAAGCATGAGTGAAAATGAAATGAATTTATTGTTTGTACAAACACTATTGTACACCGTGTCTAATGACACTTGCAGTAAGTCATTAATGAATTATTTTATTTTAGTAAGCAATCTACCGATATGTATATTATTTTATGTGGCGGTGCTCGCGTTCTTATGGTAAGAATTTGTGCTTCATGATCACTGTATCCTAAATCTTGTGTTTCAATTTCATAATGAGTAGTGGTTTTATTTGATAGATAGCCTTTGAATTTGGTGTGATCGTGTAAGTACATTCATTGTAATACGTGCACTGAAGGAAGGAATGAATGAAGTAGAGAAAGTGCTCTTTCTTGCAAGATTCAAGCAGAAAATGAATGTTAAAATCTCCGCACACAATGGATTCAAAAGAACTATTGCTGACTTGGTCCAGTGTATCTCCATTTTTTTAAGAATATATTATAATTTACTGATCTCTCTGTTGAAAACGTGTAGATGCTAAGTAATAAATTTAATTTCAATCTTCATTGACTAATCGAAAATGAACATCTGTGGTTATACTGGACAAGTTTTGGTGTGGAGGAGAAGACATGTGAGCAACCGTGAAGCACAGAGGAAATATAATGGTGTGAGGCTGAATGTCAGTCAATGGTGGCAGTGAACTGTTTGTGGAGGAAACTATGAACAGGTTCAACCATCTTGACGTTCGTATACAAAATTTAAAACAAAGCTCTGAAAATCTTGGTATTTTTTAATAGATCATATTTTTATCGGCATAATGATCCCTAGCACAAGTCACAGGTTGTTCAACTTTCGCTGCTGTACAACTACCTGAAGGTACTTCATCCATCCTCTCAGTCATCAGACCTTACTGTTAAGAGAAAATTTTTGTGAAAAATTGGAAATTGAGATAAGAACTGTAGAATGTTTTTGCATGCTGCACAAATGGGTGGGGTGGTCTGAGGCAGGAGTGGGCCAACAAAACGTCTGGGCGATGCCGACCAGGATGCTTAAGAAACATAACTAATATACAAGACGTAGAGAGAAGTTATGACTGATTTATTGATTTGCAGCAACGTAACAAGAATTATTATTTAATAAAAGCCGGCAAAGAGAAATCATTAAGATATCTTGTGAAACACAACCACCAAGCTCATTATTTATAACAGTTATTATTATGAAACCTGGAAATTAAATGAATAAACTCTCAATAAAATATCAGTAAGTAGTAACGTAATAATTATTGACTGTAACTAATGAAAAAAATTTGTTAAAAAGAGAATAAATTGACTAGTGTTAACGCTCAAAGTGAACACTATTTGTCACAAGACAGGCATTAACCTTTTTTCGTTGCCTTTGCTGCAGCATGTTTAAGAGTAACTTCTTCAATATACCCAACAGACTCTGTAACAGTGGTGTCTCCTCACTCTCGACCTAGGGCGCTGGCACTGAAGGAAAGTGTTAACGCACACACTACTATTTTCGCAAATCTGTATAGTTATACTGAATTATTTAAACAAAATACCGATTTATTTTGAATTATAGTATTGGAAAAATGAAGGGAAAGTCGCAAAAATAACAATGGGTTTTTTGTAATTTCTTTTGCAAACATTGGAATAATACATTTTGAAATATTTAAAAATACTCTTTTAAAAGTATTTATAAATGCTCCTTTTCCCGTTCTTCACTTGATGTTTTAAAAATTAAAATCTGCAACGTTATTAGGGTGTCTACATATCCAGAAGCTCCCAACTACCCTCTGACTATGCGCTAACATATCAGGCACAGAAATTTTCCACAAGTCAACATGTCCAGAGCAGTTGTAGGGTTAAAATGAAATATATCAATATCTATGAAGAAAGAATAGTAATTTATGAACCAAGGGCATTGTAAGGATTCTAATGATCGAGTGGGAACAAACGCCTTGGATTTTTGTCACGGTTCAATCACAAGAACCAGTTAATGCTTGTGATACATACATTATGCTATTTTTAACCTACTTTTAATGAATCAGATTTACTTATTTACTAACTAACTACCAGAGAGTATATATCTACTACTAGCTAACTACTTGACTCCCTTTATCTTTTCATATTTCCCTCCATAACAGAACATGTAGCAACATTCACCTGTTTTCGTATTTCGCTAGTAACCATAATCCTCTTGATCTAGGAAAGTTATGCAGTGTATACTGAGCTAAATATTTCAAAGGCAATAATATATCAGTAATAATAAACATTAATTACCAGTTAAGCAAAAGTGTGAATCTATGAAAATATACACACAAAAAAAGGTTTCATGTCTCATCAACTTTACTATCTCATTGTTTTATTAAGTTTTAACAAAAAACAATTTGTTTTAATACACATTAACACAACTGAGATACTCTTATATATATATTAAAATAACTTCAAATGGCATTCATATCTCTTAAATTCCACTGTGTCACATCACTTTACAAAAAGAAGCGTCGTCGGCTAGTTTCCAGATCATGTCGGCGGCCAGAAATGATCCAATCGTATTCTGCTGTTTTTCCATCAAACACTCCAGACTGCACCCAACGCAGCTTCAGAGTGAATCTGGGTCCTAACTCTCTCAATCCTACCTTCTGACCTTTCTCACCTTTCTTGAACTCGTACCTGGGGCACAGAAACTTATGTCAACCAGTTTTCTTATAGTAATCCACAGATTACTTCCCCCTGATTTTCTATTATCGGTACACTAGCACTCTGAATATGATAAAAAATGACAATCTGATAACAATGATTACAATCTTTCACTTCTACCCATTTCTTCTAAGACATTCTTACAGCATAATGCTAAAGAGAATTGCTAACATTTAAAAATGCTAAGGTGATTATTTTTTAAAGCACTTCAAATTGTTATTCATAAACATTTGATCTCTAAAAAGTGAAAATAATTCAATACATTACAACTTGTGTTATATACAGAACACTCAATATTTTTTTACCTGTGGTGTCTGAAAAAAATATAATCACGTTGATTGTGGAATGTAACTGCTCGCCGACCTTGAAATTCTGGATCATAATGGAAAAGTGCAGCCAACATACTAGCTACACTATTTCCCAAACGAGTACTGAAGTTATTCAGTATGACTTCTGGTCGATGGGCACTAATCTCCTGATATTTTCGCTGCAATATAACATTATAAATCAATAATGAAGATTTTTCTATTACATTACAGAATATTTTAATACTGAAGTCACTATCATTTGCTCTCCAATATCTTTTTTCTTTTATTTCCAAAGGCAATTCCTCATAACCAGAACACAAGAAAAACTTTCCGTGAAAGAAGAAGAGTAAAATAAACTTTGAGATCGCTAATCTAAATTTTCTAATATTTACTAAATAAAGGGAAATGTTCTCAAATAATGTTTTGAAAAGAAAAGTACACCTCTCACACTTAGTAATATTAAATGCACATGTAATGACTAAGGAAGCAATCTGGAATGTTCCATCTTCATAAGAAGATATTTTTACATCAACGACAACAACAAACTGTATATCTGCAATAGTCAGAAGGCAAGAAAACTTAGGATTTTACCCTCATACACATTCCTACTATTTCAAAAAGGTTACTAAATGTCAAAGACACAGCTGCAAATCTTTGGTGTCATTTTACACAATACTTACATTTGTACACAAATATTGAGTGGAGAGGGGTGAGAGACATTTTGGTGAGAGTTCACTTTTGGCATTTAAAATACATTAGTCATTTCACTTTGAACAGGCTCAAGGTTACTGTATCAAAGATCAAAACCTTGTCACGGATTTTGTATAGTGTAATTTTCAGAATCAAGGTGGATTTACGTAATCTTTACTTACCTTAATAGCAAAAAAACTAATCAAAACTAAACCAAAATTTGTAACTGTATCTCTACATTTCACATTGAATACATTAACTTATTTATCAGTAAATTAAATAATGCAAACTGTAGTTTACTTACTCTCAATTCCTTAGATATTCTGACACTACTCAAACGGAAGTTGGCAGTGGGGCCTTCAGGAAGATGAATCACCATAAGACCATCTATCTTAGTATAGGAATTTATGAAGGAAGTGTCCATTTAAATAACAATAATGAAATTCACAGTGCTAAATGTTGGCTGGACTAAACATTCAATAAACTTATTTCACAATGCAATCATTACTACAGGTATACACACAAGCTTGAAAATGCAGACTATTCATTTGAAGGAATTGCAGACAATGCAAATCTATTTTACAGCTCTCTGTGAGTAATGAATTTGTAATTCTATGTTATAAGAACTCACTTCTTTAATTACTTTTGTAGTTGACATTGCTTATACTTCTTTGCAATTTTTAATAATTAATGCTGTACCTTTCACAGTGCCATTTGCAAATTAATTATCACCTGAAAGAAAGAAATCTTCTACTTCCTACTTAAAAAAGGATACTCATTTGCTTCATGTTTTCATTGATTATTAAAATATCGGTATAGCCTTCACGGTTGCAAGATTCTACGATATTTTTAACTGGAATACGCTTTCGAAGTCGACATAATGCATTAGGAATAATTCTTTGAAGTTCCCTTCCAAAAAGCATAGTTTTCTGTGAAATAATGATAAAGGATTCATTTTAACATACACACTTATGTACATCAAAAGTAAATATTGACATTGAAATAAAGTATGATACCTAACACACTTCGGCATTGAGATTAACTAATAAATCATTGGAAGTTGAACATCTCATTAAATTCAAGAATAACCACACACAAAATTAAAATGTATTACCTTCGCAGGATTATCTGAGAAAGTTATCAGAACCTTGGGTTCATACTGTCTTGCAAAATAAGGAGCATATTCACTATTTTCAAGATCTTTTTGTACTTCCAAATTTCCTTCCTCATCCAATTTATCAAATGCTGTGTCATCTTCTTCTCGCGTTGATTCGATAGTTTTTGTAGGTTTCGAAGGTTTGTTTGTGCCTTCTTCTTTACGTTTTTTCTTTTCTGCAATTTTTGCCTAAATAAATATTGCTGTTAGTTCAAATACTCGTTGAAATAAAACTTGGTAAAAGAGCCCGAATTCCTTACCTTTCTCTTTTGTCTCTTTAACTTGACAAACAGCCAGCTTCGAACTTCCTTATTTTTAATTTTATTTATCTTACGATCTTCAGGAAACAAAACCTCATTAGTTTCCTCGACCTCTCGTACTTCTTCATCAGAGCTCATTATGTTGTTCGTTAAAAAACGTATTCGATTGATCCACGTTATAATCTATCACCACTTGGTCTTCTTACGATTTCCAATTAAATATACAAACGATAATAAAAGTTTTCTGTAGTAGCTTCTCAGATAACTAAATATTTACATCATGCCAAAGTAGTATACTAAAGCCAGAACACAACGAACACATTCTGGACACCTCTAACACGTGAACAGAAACCATGCAATCTCTTTACTCTAAGCGGATCAAAGAATAAAAGACATTCGGAATTAATGACGTCGAAATATTCAACTGTCTGAAACCTTTTATTCGGCACCACCAAAGCGCTAGTGTCTGCCTAAAATTTTGCTTTTTACGCGCATTCAAAGAACGATTCCATTCGTATTTTTTTAGCGATTAATAGAAAGGAAATAGCGCTGACAGTCAAATCAGCGAAGGCCTAAAAATGCCCGAAGGACGTGGTTGAGACAAGGACCGGATTTACCTACAATTAAAATAAGAACTTGGTACTAAATTAGGCTTAGAGGTACCTAATTATAGTGAGTTCCGCGTCCTGGAGAAGAAATTCTTAAAATATTCAATTATAATGATATGTCAAGGCCAAGATGTTCAAGATCCCATGGTTTGAAACCTCATTAAATGGAGTGGAAGTAACAAACGGTTTTATTTCAATACATACTTGGCAATTCCTTACTTTCAAAACTTCAATTCCTCCAAAGAAAGACAAAAAAGTCTGAAAATGCATAAGGATGAGAAGCAGTGTTCAGGAAAACATTGCAATAATTTTGTGATATTTTAAAATACAATTCGTATTTTCAAATACTTCGATCAGCTTCCCTTTCGCGAGCGCATGTTAACAGGGCTCACTGCGTGGCCTTGTATGACGGACAGTTACATTCAAAACATCCCTTAAACACGAGTTGAAACAAACATACGACAATGTATATATCACTGGATTCATCTTTTTTCGCTCGTCATAACAGATTAAAAATGTGTTTTATTTGAAAAAACAAAGTTATCGTAACTTGGCGTTACTTTGCTTCAGGTGCGTGAAGAGTTTCATTGCCTTGTATAAATAATCTGAGCAGTTGTTCCATTATGTAGGATTTTTTTGGTAAAGAAATGCCCATTCTTAGTATTGGTAGACCAGTTTCTTCACATCGGTCATCAGTTATAGATTTTGCCAGCTGTAGGGAGGCTTGGGAGGCTTGCTTTTAGAAAGAGAAAAAGCGCCATTAAAATCATTTAAAAACTCAGTGAACTGAAAACAATCAGTGGGTAAAGTGTACTCATTTTAATAATTCATTATCTGTGCTTCTATATCATATTTTAGTTCTGAGCTTAGCAGTGTTTTACGAATATGGGAAAGCAATTTTTCTATGAGGTTATACTTTTCCCCACTTTGGCGATACATTGTTCTACGATAAAAGTAGAGCAAATTCGCACTTGAATTTATTAGTCAGGAATGTGGAAAGGAACTGTATGTAATATATTAAGCGTTTTCTTCCAATTAACAGTCTTACTTTTTCAGGCAGTGCTACTATTTAACATTTTTGGAGGTACTATTTAATTTTCTTGGCTCATTTAAAACAAATTTTGAACTTTTCCTTACATGGATTCTGTTAAAAATTCTATTTTCTATGGCAATAAAGGTCATATAATGCCTTCAACACACAAAATTTACCTGAAACTGTTACTTTGGAAGGCTGTTGCAAAGTATCCTTATCCTGTAGTAATTTTGATCCACAGATTTAGAAATTAAATATTAAAAGCACAAGTAAATTTTGTGGTATATAGTAACATCAATATACACTCCCAACACTAAACTAGCTTATAAAATTATAAAACAATGAACTTTTCTACAAAAATGTAATTTTTTAATTCAGTCTAGTATCAAACCTCAAAAAGTGGATTAAAGTAACTCCACGCTACTGTACTTCAGTATATCGTAAAATACAACTGTTAAAATAGAAATGAACTCGTGTGTGAAAAAGCCCCATTCCTTCATGCAGTTCCGTGAAAATTGCATTGCACTAACTTCAACTGTTCAAAAATTGCAGGAGGTGCCAAAGTTACGTGACTCTTTCTGTATGTCATGTTTAATGTGTAATATTACCAACATCAGAAAAAATAAAATATTAACAAAACATATACTCGTATTAAAACAGTAAACAGCATGATACAGCATTGTTGTGCGACGTAAATTCTAAATGAAGTGTTTTAATTGGTAGTAAGAATTTCAAAAATAATTTCCCGATATAATAAATTAATATGCTGACATCTCGTATGAGAATTTTTTTCTAGCAAAGGATAAGGATACACTGCACAATAATTCTTTGCATACCAAGAATATTTAAAAAAAATCCCATTATACAACATGCGAATAGCAAATAATGGCGCCATCTTCCTTGGAACCTTGCTGTCACATGACGCCAGCTGTGTCGTAAGAAGTGAAGCATTGACTACGAACGTTCAGTCGGTACGCGCAGTGTGAGAATAAGCGGAATAACACATTCAACTACTTGCATTTTCAGACAAAATCCCAACTTTCATTGTTTTCGGATTTTCTCTGAGTTCTTGGGTATCTAACAAAACCATAGCCATCTCTCACAGGGTCAGAGGCTGCACAGATTTATTTATGTTTCTGCGTGCATTGAATGTTAATCATATATATGAAAAAAGCTCTTTCGCTCATGGAAAACAAATAAGAGAAACCTTTTTTCTTTCACCAAATCTTATTTTTTTACAAGGTGCTGTGTCTTATTCTAGCAGTATCAAGAAAAGTCAAACTTGACGCACGCGCAGTGGTTCGTAAAAGCCCTCACTTTCATCCGATCGAAGAATAACAATATTTCCTAAATAACTGTCAAAGGATACCCTAAGATAAGTAAAGGCGAGCACATTCGAAAAAATACCATTTCAACCAATTGTTCGAAAAGAAATAGGAGGACCCGTGGGGCCTACTTTGAAGGGAATTTAGATGTTTGCGCCTGCTGGTGCATCCTCCACGACACACACGCGTCAACGGTTGCCTATTTCTCAGGAAAGCGTGCCATCTGACCTTGATGGTTTTCAACGTACAAAAAACAAACTCTTCTAAATAGTATGTATCATTAAATGGGGGTTGCCTTATCTCTGGAATCATCAGATCTTCTAGATCGTTAAATCTCGTTCTGCTGAATCCAAGAATTTTCGATACCCTTAAAACGAACAATCTGATGCTAGTGGTAAGAGAAAATTTAGTGTTTCCTGCTTTACTTCGATTAATATTTAATAGAAATACAGTGTAAATGAATTGAAATGAACCTATTTGAAATGGGGGTCAATTTCTTAATTTTGATCGCAGGCTTCCATGTAAAGGCGGACGAATTGTAACGGATGGTTAGAAACTTTTTAAGCCGAGAGGAAAGAGAGGAAGTGGCGAACCGTGACTGTCAAGAAAAGCAGCTGAGTGGTGATTGTGAGTTTTGATTGTTACGCATTTATATGCTGGAGGATATGTCATTGACTAGAAGCGTAGCTTGGTGATGATTGAATTCAGTGATTACTTGAATAGGTTGTGTTGTGATTCGATCCGATAAGTATCTATTCAACTGTTTGTGTGCAGCAATATTGATATCGATACTAACGAATGGATAATATTATGGTATATAATATTATAGTATGAACAATGAGCTACAGATGTGTTGCAGCCGCTTCAATGGGGAAGCGTAGAGGGGCGAGGCGAGGGATCACGTGACGCCATGGGGCAGAGAGGAGCTCTCTCTCCCGTTACTCATTTTGCGTCATACTTCCATGTATTCTTGTTCCGGACCACTCTACCAGAGATATATGGTATAAATAAAAGTAAGCAATTACTCTTTGCTCTGAGTTTCCGAGATCCTTCTCAGTTTCGTATGAATAAAGTGGGTGAGCAGTTGCTCAATATCCGAGCGCTAGCTACGTCTTTGAGCGTACTTTCAACTGCCGAGAAAATGCTCAGAATTGATATGAATAAAGTTAAGCATTTACTCTCTAGATTGAGCACTTGCTCCAAAAATTCGGAGAGACCTTAGTAGCAGACTCACGTTTGAAAAGTAAGGTTAAAGTGGCCTATTTTTTTTACCGTGTGTTGGTATGTAGTTGCAGCGGACTAAAAAAAATTACAAGATAAAGCGAAATTCTCGTGATGTAGACTATTATAATCTTTACCGATTCGAAAAGGACAATGTATGGTTGGTACGCGCTGCTTTCTCCGCCTACCGGGCGAAACCACTCGAGTCATTTCACTCTCATCTCCATACCGCCGCCGCGGCCGCCAGCGTCACCGACGCAGTGGCCTGGCAGCAGCCGCAGTGCAACATGCCAAAACGCGACGCGGAAACACTAGGAACGAGAAACACCACTCACTGTTCGCGAGGGTTGGAAGCGTCGAATCAGGAGATGATGTCTTTTGGTGGTACGATATGCGGAATAACTACGTGTTTTTTTTTGTCTCGATATAGCTGTTCATTACTCGATCAGGCGTGATTATAAAGATGGTGAATTTATTATGCCATATCCTTGGAATTCTTCAAACGCATAAAATTCATTTCTATGTAATATTTAAAAAAACATTGCCTTACATTTTCAATATTCAATTTCAATAGTTATCTTTTGATTTGTGGTAATATGGGGCATTTTGCTGTACATGGTAGATGAAACGTTTAGCAAACGGTATATCGTATCGACATATCGTACATGGCAGTGGTTGGCATCTGGAGTCCACAGCGGTGACGCAATGGTTCGTCTCTTCTGCCGCCTAACCTTAATTGCAGTTTTATGCTTTTGTTATTTAGTCTGCCATGAGTCTATAATGTTCTGAAGCAGACAAAACGTACTGTACTCTCATATTTCAATTAACAACACTGTAAACTCGAATACGAGCGTATTATAAGCCCTCGCAGAGCAGCGTGGGGACGGGGACGCCCGCCGCTCCACCACCCCTCGCCGTTCCGAGGCTTCGCCGCTAGAGCGCAGGTTGCACATTGTTTCACAATAAAGCAACTCTCTCTTCACAAGCAGTAATCGATTGGCGCTATCGGTCGTTAATGGAAGTACTATCGGATAACAAACAACGAACCCATGAAATATTCTCTTGATACATATTCTCTGTTGTTTTTTATCTCCATCATCATCGTCATTTTTCATACAATTCCCAGAGACAAGTATCAAAAGAGCATTACACTTTACCAAACTCTATCCGGGACAGTCC